TTGGTCCGGTATTCTGCATTTTCTTCCAAATCGTTCACTCCAGTATGTTATTTTGTGTTGATTTGGGACCTGGCCCTTCAGTATTTTCCATGTGTATATTATAGTGGTACCTCGGTTTAAGAGTTTAATCCGTTCCTGGAGACAGCTCGTATTCTGAAAACTCGTAATCCGAAGCTAATTTCCCCATAAGAAATAATGGGAAATGAATTAATCCGTTCCTGACTACCCAAAAACCTCGCTTCAAGCTAAATTTTATACCTAATTCATCTAAATAAACCTACAAAACTTATGTTATTAGTTATTACTAATTAGTGTTAAGTTATTACTTACCCTTGCCAATGACTGCTGTTGGCATATGGAAGATGGTGAGGAGGGAGGGAGGGAGGAGGAGAGGTGTTATTGTTTGGAAGGAGAGTCCCCTTCCATTATAACATCAGGCAGTGAGGACCTCTCTGGGGTGCATTCTCTGGCATTTTTTGCCTGCATACCACTAGGTCCTGGTTGTGACTGCTTGATTTTCTCACAACAAATCTGTCCATGGAAGATTGTTTTCCCTTCTTTGCAAGATGTCTCTGTAGTGCAGAACCACATTGTCATTGAAAAGATTCATGCAACGCCCTACTACAGCTTTCTCTGTTTGAGACTTTTCAATAAAAGTTTGCATTTCTTCCCACATCTGACACTACTTCTTCAACTTCTTAATCTCCACTTCAAGGATTTGTGGTCTTTGTTTCGTTATTGTTCTTACGCCTTTTGCCACTTTAGCACTCATAATGTCCTTTTTCTTGCTAAGTATAGTGCATGTCGTTGACGTGGATTTGTTGTACTGCCTACAAAGTTCAACACGTGTACCATTTTCATGCTTTTGAATGATCTTATGTTTTTCCTCTGTCATCCTCACATGCGCTTTCTTGCCTTGATCCTTACCACGTGCTTTCTTGGGACCCATGGTGAGATATATACTGTAATAACAACTTTTATGGTCAAATGACCAAAAATCCAACAAAACACTGAAAATCCTGGTGAAGAATTGAGGCGGGATAGTCACTGGGCGCGATGTACTGGTAAACTGAGGGGCGATTGCTGTATCACCACACGCTAGGTCGGCCTGTACGCGTATCAACAACCTTGCCTTCAGAGACAAATTTTCCGAGCAAATCCTGCTTGTATTCCGAAAAACTCGTATACAGGGACAATCGTATTCCGAGGTACCACTGTATTTGGTATTTCTCGTCTCTTTTTAGTGAGTACATTTGGAGAGCTTTGAGGCGATCCCAATAATTTAAGGGCGTTATCTCGTCTATGTATGCCATATATATTTTCTCTGTATTCCCCCTTATTTCAGCAATATCTCCTGCTCTGAAGGGGGAAGGGAGTACAGTTGAGGTGCCATAGGCTCAGAGAGCACTGTCTGAACATCAGAAGTCCATGGCTGTTTAATAGCCTTCCAGCAAGCATTAGAAATATTGCCAAAACAAAGGTGGATGTCTTAAAGCAGCATTGCGATAGGTTCTTACAAAAAGTGCCGGATCAACCGGGTTGTAGTGGATATGTGAGCCTGCAAGCAATCTACAAAAATGGTATACCTGGAGAGGATTCCAGTTGTTCTCCCTGATAAACACAATAGCTCAAGGAGAACAACTACTCCCAGAACCATCTCCAGGTATGCCATTTTTGTAGATTGGAATTACAGTACTGTATACAGTATTTGCCTCTTTCCAAATATCTGCAAAGATTCCTGTGGACGAAGATGTCTGGAATATTGGTTGAAGTTGCATGCTTAAATCAGCTGCACATTCTCTCAGCACCCAAAGTGAAGCTCCATTTGGTCCAACAGCTTCATTTCTTCCTAGTTACTTTAGTAAATTTTCCACTTCGTCTCGTGACGCCTCCACGTATGTACTCTGATGTTTTTTGGAATTGGCATTGTCTAGTTCTCTGAAAACCTCATTTTGCACAAACACTTTGGTAATGTTCATTTAGTGTTTTACACATTTCTTTTTTATTCTCGCCCAGTGTCCTCTTGAAATTTTATAAACTACTGTACTGTATATAAGTTTTTCCATTTTATTCTAGATTATATTGCATAGCATATTTAATTTTCAACAAGACATGAATGATCAGAAATCATTTGACATTCAATACCTTCCCTTGGGAGGAAGGTATTGAATTAGCTCGTCCTCCTGAGGTTTCCCAACGTCAAGAAATTGTCATACTAAAGTTCCCTACCAGAGGACCCACAACAAAATGGAAGTGTCATTTTCGTGAGCCGCTTCCATTTTGTAGTGCGACAATTTGTTGCCTTGGGTAAAGTATATATCAAAATGCTACATTCTATTAGGACAGGTTGGTTGAATACTCTACTCCAAATATCTCCTCCTTTTCTGGTGAATATTAAATTTATTAACATAACATCCCCCCCTTCCTTCATTCTCGTGGCCTGCTTACTGTAATTACCTAAGTGTAGTTACAGGATGAGAGCTATGCTCGTGGTGTCCCGTCTTCCCAGCACTTTGTCATATAACGCTTTGAAACTATTGACGGTCTTGGCCTCCACCACCGTGTTGATGCATGATTGTCAAAAGGATGAGGTTTACAAATCTGTGTCCAAATGTCCTCAATTCTTGCTTTGTAGACCTCCCAGTCTTAAGTTGAAGTCCCCAGTACAAACAATTGGGATTTATTTTTATCTGCTCTTACTATAATCTCTCATGTCCATTGTGGCCTTCTTATTTTGTCATCTAGTTCCTCCTTTATCCATGTGTTGCTTGCTGGTAGACTGTAAGCATTTGCAATTATCAGCATCATTCTGATTCCACACCTGCAGTATCATTTTCTACTTATCATGGGTTGTTGATTATTAACTCTTATCTTAATGTGTTCTTTCACCAGCACAGCCACACCTCCACCCTTCCTAATTTTTGTTACGTCTCCAAGTTGAGTAACCCTTTGGGAATGTGACCACATTTAAAATATTTTAGTTTCATCTGTTAGTGCGACAATATCTGGGACCGTAACTGAATTATATCGCTTAGCTCCAATATTTTTATCTTGCTCCGTATATGTTGGTCAATAAAATTTTCAGGAACTTTTTTCCTCTCACTTTGTCCTTTACTTCCCCTTCCTCTAACGATTTTGTTGGTTTGTTTCATGTACCAGTCCCTATCACCTTGTAGAATTTTTTCATTTCTATTCCCATTTACACATTTTGCTTTGAGGTTTATCACTAAACTATATTTATTTCATAAAATTGTGCCTTTCTGATAATGTTTAGATAATTTATTGGTGGGTCATACTACTTGTACTAATCTTGTATTACAGGTATTTATTAGTTCCAATTGATTTTTGAAAACATTATCACTTTAAGTGAATAGGGTGACTATTTTTTGTGTGGGTATGGGTCAATAGTCAAAGTAACATTTGGGTGTAAGGTAAAGTTGAAAGTGCTCTTTAATTATTAATTTTTTTGTTCAATACAATAGTCTTTTTATTATATCTTCATAGGTTCAATATGAAAAATGACTTTACCCTTCTAAAACTTAAGGATGAATTCCAGGTACGAACACTTTGCATGCATAAAAAGCTAGGACCTCTTCTTCGTAATCGGTATTAGGAAGGCATAACTTTCTGCCAGTTGCAATTGATGGCTGTGCTGGCTCAAGACCAAATTTGGTCAAGTGCCTTTTAATTTTTAGACTTCTTGATTTCATTTCAGTTTGTATTAAGCCTAGAATAATTGAGTTTGGACTTGCTAATATATTTACTGAAATATCCCTGAAATGTACTTTTTTTATGTGAAATTGGTGTAAGTGTTCCTGTACTTCCCTGGACAGGAAAGTAATGTACAGTACAGTATAAGAATTTGTAAGAACAATAGAATTAAAAGAAATGTTTGTGGATAGACATGTGGATGCTTCCACTGATGTTCATCATAAATCATGGCATTTAAGCTCAAATTTATTAGTCTTAATATTGAACATACAATTCAACATTTCACTCAGTATGTAATTTATACAGCTGTTGCATGATAAATATTAGCATAGGTATGTCATATTAATAATTATAGTCCTGTAATTTATCTTAAATAAAAACTAAACAAAAATATTGTCATTTGTTTATCATAATTATATATTGCTGACACAGTGAATATTTATGAAACTGGATAAATGATATATATGACTCTTCAAATAAAAATTTAATAAAATAAGCTTTGCTATGGAAATGCAGAAGAAAATATATGAATGCAATTTCTGGATGGCATTCAGTATTTTTGAAAATTATATCCTAATAATGTTCAAGTAAATGTGATGTAGAAAAGTAGCTTGAAATTTGTTTAGAGAAAGAAATGTGTTGAACTCCATGGCCCTGTTAATAAGGAGGCCCTTTAACTACCAGCATTTAGTGTATTATTTCAAGAAGAAAATTTTTGTGGATTTTTTTACCTACATATATTCATAGCAGTAAATTTCCTTGCATACTGCATTACCCTTTAAATAAAATTAGGGTTGTTGCTTTGTGTAGATTTATTTTTTATTATCCCCTGTGTTCTTTGTGATTGAAAATTATTTGGAATACTGTGTATATATTTTGTTTACATTATTTTTTTATTTTCATGGTTTTGAGCAGATTAGTGTATTCATAGTGCATGACTTCAGAAATTGACACTTTTCATTTAATTTTACAGTATTATAATCTAGTTTCATCTAATTTGAGATTTTCCCTGTAAAACCGTTTCTTGCATCCTGTAATAGTATTAATAGTAATAGGTCATAATTGTGTGTTTATATACTGCTTTAACATTTTAGTTTTATTTATAAATTAATCAAAATTAATTTTTTTTTATGTAGTACTATACAGTGGTTTGCATTAATTTTGAATTTTCATAATTTATAACTTATTCATAGAAACAGTACTAATCATATCCTTTTAGGAACTTCTCAGTATATTGTTCAATTTGCATATAGCATATGCTGACTATTTGATTCCCTTTTTCTTCACAGATCAGAGGGAGAGCAAGTGAGAGAGAGACTTGGTGCAACTAGGCAATAGTTTCAGCATTTATATATATATTTTCCATTTTCATTTGCTTGAAATTTTTATTGCCATGGCTCCCCGGAAAGGTGGAGCCACCAATAAAAGTGGCTCAAAAGGAGCGCCCAAGAAACGGGTAGCCGCAAATGGATTCAAACTCCCAGACCCTATTGCTCCAGGAGTTATCATTACTGATGTTGTGAAGAAACGATGGAAAATTGGACACAGCATAGGTAAGAAAATGTTCCTTTTTAATTTTACTCGCCAAATACCAACAACAAACCAATCCCCAACATGTCTGTACTCACTAGCCCACCCACTCATGCACGTGAACTACACTGGCTGCCTGCTGACAGGTGACGATCACGGGAAGAACACAATTAACCCCTGCACTGCGTACCTAATAAATGTACTCTCCAGCTGTAGTGCCCCCAGAGAGGTTACATTTTCTCTGTAGAAATGAAGTGGTGCTGCACTGGAATGTCATATTTACTTTCGTTGTTTCTCGCTATAGTATTTAGATTTTTTGTGCTAATGGGCTGTATTGTGTCAGAGGTAGTGTTTATCATATACAATGTTGAAATATATATGTATGTAGAGATGTGTGTGTGTGTGTGCAGTATATATGGTGGAATCTCGGTATTCGAAATTTATTGGTTCCTAAAGGCAGGACAAATGCCAAAAAGTTTGAATCCTGAGCAATCTTCCCCAATAAGGAATAATGTAAATTTGATTAATCCATTCCAGACCACAAAAATATATTAATGCAATAATTAAATGAAATAATTGCTAACATATTACACTCTTTACCATCACTGATGGTAAATGGCTGTAGTTGGCATATGTGGAAGGTGGTAAGGCAGAGGAGGAGGGGGGGGGGAAGATATGTTATTCTTTGGCAGAAAAGTCCCCCTACCATTATAACTTCTGGTAGTTGTGCTTCTGGGGTTCTTTCTCCTTTAGTCTGTTTTCCTCATTAGACTCACTAGCTGCTTTTCTTAAGAGAAACTTGTCCAAGGATGATTGCTTTTGCTTGCGCATTAAAAGGTTTCTAAATTAACAGTATCGCTCGCTTTGGACACCGATCACGTCCATTTTTTTTTCTCGAGTCCTAGCCGTGGACAGGACTTGCGTCCACTACAAAACTATTTGTATAAAATTCATTTTTTATCCGATTGACCTCGGGATAGTTTCAAAATAAGCGCCTTTCGAATGCGCACAATTTGATACCAAAATGAAAGATGTAACACGAAACTTTTTGTCAGAACACTTGAAAGATTGTTTTTGTTTGATGTGTGTGTTATGTGAAATATGTTTTTGGGTCAAAATTTAAAATTTTAAAATTTGTTAAAATTCTATTTATTGTGCTATTATTATGGGACTAGCTTTAAAATGAGCGCCTTTATATTGCGAACAATTTGATGCCAAAACGAGCAATGTAACATGAAAATTGATGTTAGAACACTGGAAAAATATAATAATTTTGATGTCCAAAATTAAAATATTTGTTAAAATTCCAGTTATTGCTCTATTATTATGAGACTAGTTTTAAAATGCGCACTTTTATATTGCGAACAATTTGATACCAAAATGAACAATGTAACGTGAAAATTGATGTTATCAAACTGAACGAGTATATACATTAGGTTGTGGTGGTGTGCAAATTGGTACTCGTTCACGGGTAATTTTAGGTTTTGCTGCGGGGAGTCTCGCCAGGCTTTTGGACATTATATGCATATACATCTGTTGGAAATTTAATTGCGAACACCAAATACCAAAAAGAACGACATAGCACAAGAATTAAGGTGAGAAAACTGAAACGAGTATACACATTTTACTGATTTTGTGCGCTCATGGGTTACTTTTCTGACAGAACGAGAGAGAGAGAGAGAGCGCACACGAGGGCTGCAGAAGCACAACTACAAAGTTATAATGATAGGAGAGACCCCTACCAAAGAAGGGACTTTCCCACAAAGAATAATCTACAAAAAAATAGTCGCATTATCTTACTGTACCATTTTCTATTTTTGTATAATTCTTCCTATTTGACACCTATTGTACCTTGCTTGGAATTCTCCATACCCTAGATTCTTTCCCTCCAATATTTACTCAACTCTGAATATACTTCACCATCACTACAGATTCCCACATTTCAGATTCGTACCACAATAAAGGCATTACATTACAATTAAAGTATAAAAACCGCAATGCAGAATGACTTAGAATAATGTTTCGTAAATGTGATTTTAAATAATTTTTAAATATTTTTGATATTTTTCAGGTGTTGGTGGTTTTGGGGAGATCTATTTGGCTTCTGATGATGTTGATAAGCCTGTGAGTAATTCTGCCGACTATGTCATCAAAGTGGAACCTCACAGCAATGGACCCCTCTTTGCTGAAATGCACTGTTATATGCGTGTGGCTAGGCCTGAACATATTGAAACATGGAAGAGAGAGAGAAAGCTCAAGCGCCTGGGGATGCCTAAGTTCTTGGGATCTGGTTCATTTGAATATAATAGCCAAAAGTTCAGGTTCATGGTGATGGAACGATTTGGTTGCGATCTCCAGAAAATTTTGGAGCAACACAGCAAAAGATTCTCATTCAAGACTGTTTATCAAGTTGGCATTCAGATTGTAAGTACTGTACTGTTTTTGTTTTTGTGAGAATAACCCATTCAGCAGACTTGATACTAACAAGCCATGCAATGCTCTTGTTAGTATCTCGCTATTCTTCTCAAATTTGATTAAATTTTAGTACGTCTTTTTTTTTTCCTCGGTCTCTTTAATGTTTGAGATTTTTAGGATTAATGCAAGAGGAAAAATGAATTTAAAGCAATTATCATGGACATTGCTCTGTGGACCATATTCTATAGTTATCTAGTAGTAAATTTAGTTTTACTACTATGTACAGTGTATATGAATTTGTTGAACATGCAGATTTTTTGTAGTAAATAAAACTTTTGTAATACAGTATATTGGTTTCCTATAAGGTTTATTATGAACTGTCCATGCTGTTTGTTATTTGACCAGCTAAAAGGTAGACCCAACCATGTTAATGCCCTTAATCCATAATACAATGCAGTAGATGTATTACAGAAGGCCACATGGTTTTTTGATGCTTTGGGACCAAGATAAATACTGTAACCTGTTGTCTGAAAAGTGTTTTGTCATCCTGAAAATCTAGGGGGAAAGTTTGAAAATTTTATAGCAAAAGTTAACTATTTTGTTTGTACCTGTACTCATTTACTAGAAGTTCTGTGGCACGTGTATCTTTGTAGATTAATTTAAAGGCTGAAGCATGAATAGCTGGTTAATGTGTTGAAATCTTCTTATATACGTTTTCTTTGATGTAACAAGATGAGTGAGGGTGGACAGATAAGGGAATACTGTACTGTAAACCTCACTTTACAGTGAGGTTTCACTTACTTTCGTCTGTGTCATAGTTCGGTGACCCATGACTTTGAAAGTTTCAGAGTAATAAATCATTTAAAAAACTGGTGTTCTAATAGCTCTTTATTATTATAATTAAACTAAACTAAATAAAACCAAAAATATACTGTAATGTAATAGACATCTGATATTTGAGAAACTAATCATGTTATTGGCTCAAGAACTCCAGCGCGATTGGACGGGTCTAATCCGTATGCACACCACCATGAGTGTTTCGTTCGATTTCGTCGCCACAGTTCAGTGACTTACGGCTTCAAAATAATAAAATTAAGTAAATCAGTTCTAAAATAGCTATTTTCTATAGCTCTTATTATTGTAATGTTGGTAAACTAAATATATAACCCAAAAATATATAATTTGATGTAAATCCAATATTTGAGGGAAATTTGTTATTGTATCTGGCTTAACCCTTAAATGGCGCCTGGCTATTTAGCATATCACCCACAGGTGCATACCAATAAAAAAAAAAAAAATTCTTCTGAACCTGTTAATTTGTGTTCGCTGATCACGGGAAAATAATAAAAAATCGTAAGTGGCATATATTGCCCATTGTAGGGTGGGGAAGTCTGGCAGAAAACAGGCGCTGACTCAGCGTGCGTCCCAGGCGGTCTGTTGCTCGCCAGCTGTCAGGCCGGAGTTGCCACCGAAGTGGCAACAAAGAGATAAAATAATTACCTAATTATTTCAATGTCTCTGATTTTTCGTAGTTTTTTTGCTGTAATATTATTCAATAGTGTGTAGTGTGATATATTTATATAATGAGTGAATCGTCGCTGTACTGCTGTACTCAAAAATATGGTGTGCATATTGTTGATTCAATTATGTTAATCAGTGAACAAATACTTTGTCGGTTATTACACTATATACACAGATTATATATAAGTATCTGCATGTTTTGTTCACCATAACGAACCACTGAGTTGCTATTATGAGTCAAAAAGTAATGAGGAGTGACCGCCACACACCAGCCAGCCACTTGCTGCCACTCACTCCCTCAACACCTCACTCGCCCACATTCTCCTCCTCCCATACTGTTTTTGCTTTTATATACAGATGTTATATATAAGTATTTACATGTTTTGTTCACCATAACTGTACATTTAAGCTTGTATGGTGAGTAAAGGCACAAAGACGTAGCTACTCACACAGTCAGCTGGTGGCGACCGCCCCAAGGCCAGACGCACTAATATTTCTCCTCCAACAATACTGTTTGTGGTGGTATTACACTATACACACACATTATATATAAGTATCTACCTGTTTTATTCACCATACTTGTACAAGTAAACTGGTATGGTGCCCAAAGACCATAGTGGTCATCAGTAACTTTTAATTGGTCCCAATAATTTAGATGCTTGCTAGAGTGGATTCTAGCAGTAAAAGATCTTTGCAGGCTCTCCAGGTCAGCAATTTCTCTTGCTTTGAATGGGGCTTTTATTGTGCAACAATATTCCACCCTAGAGAGCACTAGTGTCTTAAATTATCGTCACTGGTATAGCGTAACTTAATTGATGCGTTCTTTTATACAACCTTTAATATTGCAGTTGTGATGGCTACTTTGTGTTCTTTAAAAGTAAGGTCTTCCAACATGATTGTTCCTGTATCCTTTACAGTGCTCTTTGATTCTATATTGTGATTTGAGTGCATTTTACATGTGGTTTCCATTTATATTTGTTTTTTCCCGAAGAGTAGGAGCTAGAACTTATCCTCAATAATTTTGAACACAAAATTGGATAGCATCACTATATATTATTTAATGTCTAGATACATTTTATGAGATCTGACTGTTTAGTTTATGCATCGCTAGAATGTCTCGTGATGTACATTGCATTTCATAGAGCTCGTCTCGTGTGGCCCTTTCCTCGCACACAAATAGAGAACAGTATAAACAACAAAGGTTTATATCTCATCAATGTACTGTCATTAAGAGCAAGAAGTTTTACTGGACAAGAATTAGTTGATTTCAAGAAGGAACTAGACAAATTTATGCTGGAATTATTAGATCAGCCTGACTGGTTGTGTGAACTATAATATCACAGCCATTTAAACCAGATAATCCTCAGGAAAGGATGACCCAGGCCAAGCTATAATGAACCCATAAAATTGTCCTTAGGGTAACCTTAGCAGAAAATGAGGACTTCAATAAATTGTAAACTTGTATAGGCTTTTTTTCTTGGAGTATGTAACTCCAGTGAAACTGAAGTTACTCTGAAGCTGCTTATGCTCGTTGCACTAATTTGAGTGGATATCAATGATGTATTGATGTTGCTTTTTCTTCCGATTTCCTCAGTTGGACGTGTTGGAATACATTCATAGCAAGGAATACATCCATGCTGACATAAAAGCATCTAATCTCTTGATTGGATATAAACCCGGTACTGAGAATCAGGTGTTTTTAGTAGACTTTGGCCTTGCTTGTCGCTATGCAAATGATGGGAAGCACAAGGAGTACAAGTATGACCAGAGGAAAGCCCATGATGGAACCATCGAGTTTACTTCAAGGGATGCCCATATAGGTGGTAAGTTGACTTTTATTACTTACCAGAAACTATTGATATATATTTTACATGTTAATAGGTAATAATTGATTGGTATATTTTATTATAAATGTATTTGTGGTTTGTAAGTATATCGAATGGTCTACAATTGCCAGATAGATATCTAGTTCAACATTTTATTTATCTAGAGTCACAGCTCTAGATAGTCTGCAGTTTGAGGGGAACAAGTCTGTTACTGTACTTTGGAGGAATAAGCTATTCGAAACTTAAACTCTCTTGAAGACAAGAACGTAAAATATAATATTTGTTACATACTGTGGTGGTATTTGTGATAAGTTAACTAGTTCTGATGTTGGTACTTCATTCTCCAATGTTACTATAGCAACATAATTATATTGTGTGCAATTATAAAATATTTTTCCAGCTCACTCTCGGCGAGGAGATTTGGAGATCCTTGGTTACAACATGACTCAGTGGTTATGTTCCTGTCTGCCATGGGAGGACAAGCTTCAGGACTGTAACTACGTATTTGCACAGAAACGAGGCTTCATGGAGGATGTTAGCTCATTCATATCGCGATGTTTCCCCGATACTAAGCCCCCAGGTATAAGCCGGAGTTTCATATTTTAATTTTGTTTTTCACAGTGATTAGAAGATTTAAAGTATTTTGTTATAAAATCAGTGGATGGTAGTAAAATGTAAATGACACTGGGTGAAGGAGCTCTGAAAGGTTGCATGATGCCTATGTGGTCTGGCATCTGTCGACACACGATGACATTGCAGACACGACTCCTAAGTTCTTGAATGTTTCACTGATTGTTTATCACTTGTTTTTCTTTATTTACAAGTGTGTGTGTTGAACAATTTGACAAATTCCCATAATGCATTATAATGTTTAAATTTGTTTACCTGACACTCTCTCTCCCTCTCCTCTTTCTCTCCTCTTTCTCTCTCTCTCGTTCTCTCTCCTCTCTTCTCTCCTCCTCTCGTCTCTTCTCTTCTCTTCTCCTCTTCTCCTCTCTTCTCCTCTCCTCTCCTCTCTTCTCTCCTCCTCTCGTCTCTTCTCTTCCCTTCTCCTCTTCTCCTCTCTTCTCTTCTCCTCTCTCTTCTGTGTGTGTGTGTGTGTGTGTTAGATGCTTAGTTCAATGGGGAAGTAAGGTAGTAGTAAGGAATACCATTGTATACAAACATTTTAATATAAATTTAATTTTCAGGTTTGGGGGACTATCTGGAGTATGTTGTCAATCTAGCATTTGACGAGCAGCCCGATTATGAAAAATGCCGTAATATTCTGCGGGAAGGACTCAAAGCACGAGGATACAGAGATGATGGAAAATTGGTGTTCATGTCTGCAACTCCTGTGCCTCCTAAAAAGACAAAGTCTCGTATTGACCGTAAGGTAAGCAAGCGAAAGAGTGAAGAGGTTGATAAATATAATGCTGAAGATTCTGAAGAGATTGAGGAGCCACGGAGGGATGTGGGAAAAATAAAACGTGTGGCAAAGAAGAGGGCCAAAATTTCAATTGAAGACTTAAAGATTGAAGATGAATCACAAGTAGTTGAGAAAGAGAACAAGAACAAGGCCAACCCTAAAACTAGAAGTGGTGGTCGAGGAAGAGCTAGAAAGGCTGTTGGTATTGTAAATCCTGTGTCATACCCTGGTTTTGATAATCCAACCCCACAAATGCTGGCTCTTTTAAAGAAGAAAATGTAATCAATAGTCATTCCAATTGTTTATCAAATCAATTGTATTCTGCTTTTCCGAGGTTACTGTTATTGTGTGTATCTCGTCTCTTAGTTGAGAACATAAACTTTTCCTGCCTTATTTTTGTACTATGAAAGGTAACAACACCCTCTCTCAGTACTTGTGTACTGTTTGAATAAAATTTAGAAAAAAAATTTTTTTTGTCAATTCCTGATTACTATATAGTAAAGATTTTCATGGGTGTTAGCAAATTTGTTTTTATTGCATTATTGACTTTAGAGTACAGTATTTAAAAATTTCAGTTTTTGTTTGCATGCGTTACAATATTGCTAACCCCATGAAAATTTTTACATTCTAGAAAACTACCAAAAGACGATCAGAAGAGGAGGAAAACATTGGTGAATTCACGCCCAAGAAGTTAAAGAGAAATTCCAACATCTCTCCATGTAGACCCAGAAATAAAAGGTAAGCTTATCTTCATCTAAGTGTGTGTTTGTGTATGTGTGTTATTTTTTTTTTTTATATATATATATATATATACAAGAAGGTACATTGGGTTTGTGTGAGTACATAGCATGTGTTTAGTAAAGATACTAATACGCACAGCTTTTCGGGCAGTTCCTTAATCTAACATAATATTAAGTAGATAAATTCTAGCAAAATTTATAAAATGTTAACAGATACATTGTAAGAAAATTTGATAAGATTAGTAGGTGTATTAAAGCACATTTATAGCATTGATAGCTTGGTTGATAATTTGACAAAGATTAGTAAGCACATTAAAGCATAGTGATAGCACATAAGATGACAGTAATGATCACAATGGTAAAGTTGTATGGCTTAGATATCTATATATTGGGAGATTGGGTAGCACAAGATGCAGTGCACGTTTAAAGCATTAGGTAGGAAACTATGGAGATGAAATTAGGTACTTTTTGTTTGTTTTTTAATAAGGCAAAAGTTGGATAGCTTTTCAATTCATTAGGGAGTGAGTTCCATAGACTAAGTTCCTTTATTTGCATAGTGTTTACGCAGATTAAGTTTGACTCTGGGGGATATCAGATATTTATTTCTTAAATTTCTAACACTGTAAATCGCTGGTGCTGTCCTGTCCTGTATTGCTTGGTACTGTACTCGCTTCCCCTTTCAGAGCAGGAGAGATCTCTGAAATAGAGGGAATACAGAGAACATTCACGGCACGCATAGAAACTATAAAACTTGTAAATTATTGGGACCGTCTCGTAGCTCTTCAAATGTACTCTCTGGAAAGGAGATAAGGTATCACACATGTACTTGGAAGATACGGGAAGGGAGGGGGGGTCCAATTTGCACAGTAAAATAACATACTAGAGCAAAAAGAATTGAAGGAAATGCAGAATAGAACCAGTGAGTAGAGGTGTCTTTGGCACAATCAGAGAACACTGAACATCAGGGGTCCACAGTTGAAAAACACCCTCCCAGCAGGCATTGGAAATATTGCTGGAAAGAAGGTAGATATATTAGAGGCACTTGGTCAGGTTCTTGCAAGAAGTGCCGGTCCAACCAGGCTGTTGTGGATATGGGCATGCGGGGCTGATCTAAGCAACAGCCTGTTGGACCAAGTTATCACAAGTCGAGCCTGGCCCCGGGTCGGGGGAGTAGAACTCTCGAAACTCCCTCCAGGTGTGCTCCAGGTCGAGATATTTTTAATTTGAATTTTGAACTTGCTCGTAGTTTTCATTCAGTATTTCTTCTGCTATTAAAGTTGTGCAGTGTGATTCCATTTAAATTTATCTTAAATTATTGTTTTGAAAGTTGGAAATGGTAATGTTCATGCAAGAACATATGTAGCCCAGTTGCAAGTACACCCATATCACTACATTTCTCCCCCATCGATCATGTCCCCTATTCACTGCCAACCTCATCTACTCCTACCCCCTCTGGTAATTACCATTCTAATTATGTATTGCTCAGACCTTACGTTACCATCTCCCAACTTCCACAACACATTACCTCCATTTCTCACCCCATGAACCATTACAAAATTACTCTATTCCCCACTCCAACACCTCTAACCACTATCCCCTTTTCTCTCCTTTCCTCTGCTATCCCTGCCTCCACTTTCCTCTGCTATCCCTTCCTCCACTTCCCTCACAGCTCCCTTTCCCTTGCATAAGGGAGGAAGTGCATAATTATAAGTTTATAAATAATTTTAGTCATTGTATTGAGACATGCCTTGCATAAAGGCCCAGGGATGCCATTCTCGGTTAATAAAAAATCAAGCTATTTAATTTTTCTCCAATATTATAGAGTGAATACCAGAACCTGTCCTAGGAGTTCCTTGGTTGGCATAAGTTTAAGTAAACCTTGTCAACCAGAATTCCCACCTGTAGACACTGAAGACATTATGATTGAAAAAGAGAATCAGAAGATGGCTGCCCGTAAACAGAAGCAAAGACCTAGAAGACTGGCTATTGTGAAAGACACGTCTCTTGATAATCCGACTCCACAAATGATTGAAATTATGAACAAGATAAGAGAAAAATCTGCATCTCCACCGATATGCCAAAAGCGGCATAGACACAACAGGTATTTAGGCTTTGATTGCTTGTGGTCTTCAGGGGTAGATCCTTTTATCAATCTGGGGCATTTGTCTACAAAAAATTTGACTGGTTGATACCTTGTTGACTATTCACTTAGTTTCTTCAAATCTCCTGGAAGGTTCTCATTTTTAATTAATTTGCTAAATTTTTGCATCATATGCAAATGCTTACTAATTTGCAACCTTTGGCTAATCTTTGATACTATCTGGAATATAATATACAGACTAATGCTGTCTTATGGTATTCTGCACGTAACTTTTTCACCATGCTGACAACAGCCCTTGTATTAGTGCTCTCATTCTCTTCTCCCATACATTTTAGTAGTGGGTTTTCTAATCCTGTTGCATTTTCTAGTTTACAAAGTATTTTCACATTTTTTGTGATATTCTTTGGAATTGATGTTTAAATATCTAATGTATGCAATTCACATCATGGAAGTTTTACACAAATTCAGAATATATCAGATTTAAATGTGAACAGTGTGCAAAAAGTGGCTAGCAATAAATATGGGTTAGTTTAAGAGGCCCGGTGCTCGTGTATGGAAACTTCCTCACACTCAAATTTTTTGTGAATAATATCTTCATGGTAAATGCTCCAACTTTTCCTAATGGACCAACATCGTATCATGAACGGGGAAAAAATGGAAAAAAATTAAATTTCACAATTTCAAATTCGGTTTAAAAATATTAAAATGTCACCAATTTGTATTTTATTCATTATGGTCTCAGAATGGCATATAATGTTCATGGTACTCAGTGAAAAATAGTTTGAGAGTATACAGTAGTTTACTGTAAAAAAAAATTTCAATGTGGTCTTCCAAATATGTGCAAAATTTAGATGCAAAAAATTTATAACCCCAAAAGTTATGGGTTTGACTAAACAACAGTGAGGACACCTTAGTTCTAAGCACTTTGCACATATGTAAAAATGGTGAGAATTTGTCAGAAACTTAATTTTTGAAGTGGTTGAAGTTATCAACAATGAATAGGGTAATTCTAATTAATGAATTTTCTTGTATGTTTTAATAAACATTGCTTTGTATTTGTACTTGAATATGTGAAAGTTGTAGGTCAATGTGTTGAAATGAAGTAGAGAAACCCCCCCCCCCCCCATGGGGGGGGGAACCCCCCCCCCCCAAAAAAAAAAAAAATAGGGATAAGTTAGGAATAACAAACATGTATATTGCAGTAACTTTATTGCCCATATATAAGTGATAAGGCCCTAATCTGGTCCTCATTCATTAATACAACCTAAAGAGAGAAAGAGAATAGTTTGAAATCTGTAAATAAATTATCCCAAAAATAAGTCACATCCTGTCACCTGTGGCTGATTAACATGTTGACCAATTTCGTTCCAACTTCACATGCATAATGCTGGATATGCATTCTCAAAGATGTAGAAGTCCTAACAAAATCTGCATAGAAAAAAAGGAGGGGGAGGGGAGAAAGTGGTTGTCAGCTTTTTGTACAATGGGACATAAGAAATATTGCCTTTTGACAACGTATTTATGATATATAATAAAATACAATATAATAACATACTAACACACTATTACACTCGCCACTCGATCATCCGGACTATATGGGAAGGTCCCCCCGCCGGATTATCACGTGTTCCGAATAATGGTACTTTTTCACCTCTTGAGTCCAAAAGTGACCGTTTCCAACTATTTTTATATTACAAACAACATAATTTGAATTGCCTTCCCACATATAATTATTAGATATTCAACTAGAAACCTCAACTTACCTTGTTGTTGTTTGTCTTCTTGATTGATGCCACACATCTTGAAGTTAAGAATTCTTAACAATTTATGTAACCTATACTAACACAACACTAAAATTAACACTTAAAATTACTGTACAGTTCATTAAGCAAAGTTAGTTTTGACTGCCAGCTGCTGAACCCTCACTGGTTGAAGACATTTGGGTTGCCTGTGACGCCTCACTGGTTGATGGCATTTGGCTTGCCTGTGATGCCTCACTGGTTGAGGTGTATAACACGTAACTTGTCTTTAATTGCTAGGACAACCTTCTTCCTCTTAACACCTCCAGAACGATTGATGCTGCTACCAGACATAATTTTGGCCAAAAATGTTCAAAGTTACTATGAAAATAAAAAAGCCATTTAAAAAAATATTTCACTAATGGCACAGTACTGTGGTATAACACGAGGGACGAGAGAACATGGGTTGACCAGTGTTGGACGGGTCCACTTGGGGCAGCTATAGCACGTTACGTAGGCCGCCAGGAGGAAAAAACTTGTATATTTGTTATTAAATAATTAGTAGTACTTATTTCATTTGTTTTTGGCTATGATGAATTGTTCTAAAATTAATGGTAATTCCTATACCCAGGTGGTCCCTCCTAACACTCCCCTCCCACCCTCCCGACACCACCCACCCACCCCATCCCCTCCTCCACCATACATCTCGAGCCACAGGCAGACGGGATTAATACGGTACGGCCCGCAACATAGCTTTCATATCCCGACAATTCAATGATTATCCGACTGACTGTCCAGATAGTGTAACATTGGCAGCAAGTTAACCGACTCCGATTTTTTTATTCATCTAAACCAGCTTTTATCTGGCTCCCATGGCCATTTTGTCTGGATATTGAGAACTTTATCCGGTCATGATTTTGGCCGTATAAGGGGGTTTTCCGTATGTTCGAATCCCGGATAATCGCATGGTTACGGTATGTCTGAAATTTGCCCCTCCAGGTGGCACCAGCTGCATATCCACTTTGTGCACACTCCTTACTAACTACTCTTCTTCTTTGTGCATCAGACGAATGCTTGCATCTCTTTATCCCTGATTGCCAGTAAATAGGTGGTGTTATCGTTATTATTAGTACCGGTTGCCGCCTGTCTCGCATACATTTATTTAACAAAAAAAAATTAAATTTATTTTTTAACATTGGGATGAAAATTTCATGACGCTGATGCCAAACAACGAGAGATTTGTTTAAAGTTTTCACCATTTTTCATATTTGGAAAAATACTCCTTAGTTATTGGGCCCTTACATGGATATTAATTGTTTACACTCTAATGACAGTTGGAGCTATATGAAGTAGTGGACATATAGTGTTGGGGTTCTAGTGATTTTACACTGTTGTGAAGACTAGGGTTGAGTTTTTTCATCATTTGAAAATTTCAAATGATGTGTTTTCACATTTTGTGTGAGTGTTTCTATTAAATCTATTGTTTCATGTTTATCCACCCCCTTGAAAGTGGGAATGGGGGTAATTTTGACTGTTTTATTTGGTCCCATGGGGGACTATTTTAACACTTTCTGCGGCTGAGGACTCCTCCCGGCGTCCTGTTTCGCCTACCCGCTCCCGCTAAGTGGACATAAATTTATGTCCTCTTTTAAAATATTTGTATAAAATTCAATTTTTATCCGATTTTCTTTGGGTTTGTTTCAAACTGCGCGCCATGAGGCTCTCTTTCTCACCAATAGGCTGCATGGTACAATAAGTTCATGAAAGGTTCACAAACATAACAAAAGTAAAAACATTTCGTGTGTGTTTGACTCTCACTGATATGTTCCAGCGTTGTTTTATATTTGGCGCTATTCTATCTTAGGCTTTGTTGATCTTTTTTACCTACGGGCTCATAGAACATTCTATTGCGAACACATTGACACAAAAGTGAATGACGTACATAGAATAATAATGTCATGAGAGTGAAATAAGTATAAACTTTCAAAGCGCCGTGCGTCGTCCCGTCACCGATACCGGGCAACAATTTCACCACTTCCCACACTCTTGCGGGCGGGCCGCAATCATTATTCTACGCTTATATTCATATCACCGTGTTGGGAATTTCATTGCGAGTCCATTGATACCAAAATTAACGCTGTAGGACAAGTGTGGAGGTGATAACAATCCCAAGAGTAAAAACATTTTGTTGCTGTTGGGCGCTCATGGCGAGTCATCTTCGTAGTTATTTATTTGGTGCTGGTATCCCTATACGTTTCATGACTTTTTTACTGGTGTTCTTCTAGAGAATTTTATTGCGAACACGTTGGTACCAAAATGAAATACGTAGCTCGAGAACTAAGGTCAGGAGAGTAAAAAGAGTATACACATTTTTGTTTTTACGCTTACGCGGCAAAACGCCGGGAGCGCATAGTTTTTTTTTTTACATTCGCCGGGAGGCTGAAAGTGTTTTAATGAGATGTTTTGTATAATGCCATTATTTTTTTTGTGGTTTACAGCAACTGCTACAGTAATAGAAGTAGTCCCACCAATGAAGATATTCCATCACAATTTACCCCAGAGATGGAAGCAGTTATGAGAAAACGAGCCGAGAGACTATCTAGTTCTGAGAGTGAAATGGATTCCTACTCTAGTTCATCTTCAGACGTAGGCTCACCCCAAAGGTTCGATTCCTCTGAGAGTGAGGACTCAAATGATGCCACTGTTTATTACTCTCCTCCTGTCTCCCCTTCATATGTGGCTCATCAAAATAATACAGCGAGAAATGTCAGGGGTAAGTACGATGGTGATTAATATTTTGTTGCTTTCCTTTCAGATAACATTGAAAGTTAACCAGATATGATTGTGATAAGTTGGTATTCATCAAGTTTTAAATAGTTATTGTTTATGTATGCTGTATTTTTATTTGATTGTATTTTTAAGTAAGGGTATAATTGAATGTGGAAGTTTAAGTGTCAGCTTACACATGGGCTTTATTCAGAGCATAAGTTACTTATCATTTGCTTGTAAATTCAACATGGTGCTGATAATTCAATGTCTCCTTGGATGTTGTCATTTGAGCTATCAGTGCCCTTTTGTTTATCAGTTGGTGTCATTATCATGCCAGTAAGGTATACATTACACACAGTCATCAGTGCATCAAGTTACAAGGTGATGAGAGGCATTCATTCTTTGAAAATTATTTGACTGAAATTAAGTTATTACCTACTGTACCATACATGTCCTTACATGTGTAAAGTATTTGCTGCATAACATTTAACTAAAATGTTGGGGAAAAAAATCTATTTCCAAGAGGACATGGGTACTCTTTCCCAAGGGTAGAAGGTAAACGAGCACAGCAATGCCTCCACTTTCTCTGATTTTTCTGTCACATCTCAAAATTGAGTAGCCCCTCAGAAATATTTTCAAGTTTTGTCTTGGTGCGACAATATCCAGCAACTTCGGCAGCAGTAGTCCCACTAACGACGCAGCATTGCGTCGTTGGTGCGGTAAAGTAGCGGCGTCTTCAGGAAGGTCTTGCTGCGGTTTTGAACTTTATATGCATATACTCTTAAGGGAATTTCATTGCGAATACATTGATACCAAAATGAAAGCCCTAGGATCAGAATTGAGGTAACAAAGTTGAAAAAGAGTATACCCATTTTATTGCTCTTTATTAGCGCTCACTGGGGTAACACTCCATCACTTTCTCTGTTTGCTGTGGGTGGTATGCCGGGTTTTTGGACACTGTATGCATATATATACCCATGTAGGGAATTTTATTTCGAACACCAATACCGAAATGAAAAACCTAGGACGAGAATTGAGATGTCCAAAGAGAAGAGTGTACACATTTCATTGCTCTTGCGCGCTCCCGGGTAACACGCTCTCACTTTCTCACTGGGCTTTTGGGCTTCATATGCATTTAGTCCTGTAGAGAATTCTATTGCGAACACATTGATACCAAATTGAATATCTTAGGATGAGAATTGAGGTGACAAAGTTGAAAAGAGTATGCACTTTTCAGTATTATCGTGCGCTCTAATGTAATGAGAGGCACCTTGGGGTGGTTCAGCACCCTCTTTCTGGTCTACTTTCATCTTGGCGGCGGGTGGAGCACGCTGCTGTTTTTGACATTATATACATATACAGTACTCCTGTAGGGAATTCTGTTGCGAACACAAAGATACCAAAATGAAAGACCTTGAACAAGAATTGAGGTGACCAAAGTGAAGAATGTACACATTTTATTGCTCTTGCGCGCTCCCGAGTAACTCGCTCTCAATTTATCTGTTTGCTGCGGGTGGTAAGCCAGGCTTTTGGAGTTTATATGCATTTAGTCCTGTGCTTTACTTGACGCTTTCGCGCACCGGGCGTATGCACGAACTACTCCTGGCGGTGCGGGCGAGCGCTCGGCGACACTATAAATGTGTGTACTAATTTGTTTTGTCACCTTAATTCTTATGCTTCGTTGTTCATTTTGGTATTATTGTGTTCGTAATAGAATTCCCTACAGGTGTCTATGCATAGAAGGTCCAAAAGCCAAGCGTGATTCCCCACAGCAAAGCCTAAAGTCGGCAAACGTGAGAGCGTTTGATAGTTTTTAATTAGTCTAAATTTTTTTTTTATTTGTTTATCGGGGGTTTGCATGAAACTTGTACACCTGACTGCACGTAAGCCTATCGGTAAGGGTGCCAATTTTGAAGGAAATAGGTTGATGTAAACCTCAGCTACAGATGGCAGTGCCTTAGACTTCATTTTTTAATTATTTCTTTTAAAGTAACATAAACATAACTTCTACTCGTTCATTTTTTATTCAATTTACATGACACTTACACCTTGTATGTAGAGTGTGTCTACAATTGATAAGTGATGATTTTTTATTGATTTTATAAATAGTAATAAACGTGATATGTTTGCGTAATTTTTGGGGAACTTTGACGATTTTTATTAGTAAAACTAAACATTTCTGAAAATCCGGTCATACCAAACCTTTATTATATGCTAATGTGATAGAAGAGTGTCATAGAAATGATTTAATTTGAATCGTGGCTGTAGAAATTTTTTGAAAATGTGTAAATTTCGTTGAAAAAACAAAAAATCTTGCTTCTATTTAGGCTGCAATACTGAAACTTGGGACAGTTGCAGCCCCTTTTCATATATAGAACTACTCCAAAAAGTTTGATTGCAATTGAACTACTTTTAAAATCCTAGTTGTATGTCCTCTTAAGAGTAATGTTACTCTTAGCAATCCAATGATAAAATTTTGTAGTGGTAAGGCAACATGGATGTGAAGAGTGAGAAATAGGCGTAGGTTGGATGGATGGGAAAGTTATGCCTGATAGTTGTAATAATTTTATGCCACAGCATCATATGAGACAGGAGAGTGAGTGAATAGATTGCATTTACTTTGATTGAAAAAAATGATTGATATCATTTCTCACTACACTACACTTTCTCACTAAAGTGTATAAATCCCTTCGTAATGTCGCCTTGTGGTGAGGGGCTCGTGTACACCTCCCTGGGAACGGTGAAGGTTGCCTTTGCCCCCCTCTCCTGCCCCCTCTTTGGATGGTGCATGTGCAGAAGGGCACCACGTAGGGACCTTGTGATCCATCGGACTGCCCGTGCTGGAGGGGTCGCCCATGAGGAGCCGCCCTGAGTGGATGGCTGTCCAGGCTGGGGTGTTAGTAGGAATGGGGTTTTAGCACCAGTGTGGGAGAATGGATGATGCAGGAGGACTCTCCCTGTTGAAAAGGGGGAGCACCGCTGGGGACGACGCACCCTTCCTGCACTGGCCCGCGCTCGGCCTCCCTGGTTGCCCTGGTAGGTGCTATCCCTTAGTTCCGGGCCCCAAACTTTTAGAACGACTGCTGCCTGGATGACGACATGACTTCTCTTACCCCAGGCTCTTGGGGTGGGCGACCAGGCAACTGAGTTGGTCTGTGCTGGAAGATTGGGCTCTGTAGCCCCTGCTACATTGGGCCCAGACCAGACTACTACTACTACTACTCTGCTCCCCTCCCTGCTCACCTCCCTCTGTGGTAGGGTCGAGCCTCAAGCCCTCTGTAGTGAAGGCTTGAGGTTCATCCCTTAGCACAGCTCCATCTCTCGTTGTGACTACTGTGCCTTATGACCCCCCTCTCTCTCTCTAGGGGTTCTCACCACCGTCCCCACCACCACCGCTCTCGCACGCTCCCTTCCCATACTAATTCGTACCACGCCTTGTTTGGTCTTGCTATGTGGACTAAGTACTTTGACCTCCATCATTTAGATTCTACTCCTGACAATTTCTCCCCCCCATAGGCACCTTGTGGATTCAGTAGATGCCTCTGTTACTTTCAACCCTACCCGACTCGGTACGCGTGTTGTTGCTGCTCCTTTTCAGGATGCAGCTACCCACTTGACCGCTTTGTCCTACATTGGGAAGACCCCTTATTCGGGTCTCCAAGAATGCTTGGTTAAATGCCAGTGTTGGCACTGTGCTCCTCCGACACCATGTTGCGACCGGTATTAGGAACCTCAAGGACTGCCACTAGGATGTTGAACGTATCCTCGAGGCCCAAGGCCATTCTGTTCTCCAGATGAGCACGTTAACTCAACCCCCTCGTGACCGTCGTCGTCTGCCCCTTCGGGTTGTGAAGATTACCTTTGATGGTCGGACACTTCCACCCTCTGTTATTCTTGCTGGTGCCAGATGCTCTGTTCAGGAGTACATTCCCTCTCCTGGACTTTGTAATAAGTGCTGGAAGTTCGGACATGGTGCCCTCAGATGCTCCAGTACTCTCTCAGCCCCATGGGTGGGGACAAAGGTTGCTCTTAAGTCGGATTTCTCCCAAGGCTTGCTGCCTCAATTGCGGTGAGGCCTACCCTACCTTCTCCTGCACGTGTATGCATTACAAACTTGAGGCAGCCATCCTCAACTTGAAGCACCGGGAACGTTTGTCTGTTCTTGAGGCGAGGTGCCAAGTTTGCCATCTTCCCCTTTCGCTGGCATCTCTTATGCTCGCGTGTTGCGCTCTTCCTCTCCTCGTCCTTCCCACCTTCTTCAGTCTCTCAACCGTTTCCAGGCCTTGAACCCAGACATGCCCACCGTCTCCTCCCCTGTTCCTTTATATTCTGTCCTGAAGGGTCCCCCTCCTGGTTCTATGTCTGGAGTTTCCCTCTTTCTACTTGGTCTGTCATGTCTTGTCTTCTTTCTCATCTCCCTTCGATCTTCCTTCCCATCCTTCTACCCCCGTCTCTTAGCTCTCCACGCCGCCTGTCTGTATGGGCTGTTGCCCATCACTATTCCAGCGATCACCGTGGTGTTCGCTCTCGTTCTTCTCCTGTTGAGACGCTCGAGTCTTTTGCCCAGTACGTTGTTGTTAGTACACCTGTCTCTTTGAGTCAGAAGTGAAAGCCTAGCTCATCTCCCTCATCCTCCTCCGGGTAAGAAGGCTTCGCTTTCTTTCCTTGCCCTCCCTACCTCCGACACACTCGCTCTGTCCCCTCCCGTTTCAGCGGTCGTGCCCGTTCCTGCTATGGAGTTTTTTTTTTTTTTTTTTTTTTTTCTCTCTCCTCTCCCACTTCCCACTCGGTTGCTGCCCTTGCTGAGGTGCACTCCCTGGTTTTTGCACCTTCTACTGCTGTCGACCCTCGGTTGTTCTGCCCCCTCCCTTCCCCTCATCCTCCTCCTCCTCGTCTGCCTCTGGTCTGTCCTCCCACTCCCTTCCCTCCATCTTTACTCAGTTTACCCTTGCCCCCTAACCCTGACTTCGCTGACCCTGATCCTGCACTTCTTTAACGTGTTGT